TCGTTTGCGCTTGCTCCCAATAGATCCCGTCGTCCGGGGCAGCGGATTTACTGAAAATAGTTTGGACAATGAAATTGCGCAATTTCAAATTACCGGGATCTAAAACAGGTTATTGCCCTAGAATTTTTTTGCCCATATAGCAACACCCTACAACATATTTTTTGCCCTAGCTAGAAAAAATGTGCTACTGTTTAGCCATATTTCTAAGGCCAACTTCCATTTTTTGTCCAATTGTTTCTTTTTGTTGAGGCAAGGTGCTAATAAGTGTTGCAGAGGTGTTGAGTTTCCCGGTTATTTTCTGAATTTTGCAATTCTAATGAGATTGCCGCTTCCTTGGAATAATTATCAGCATTGCAGGAGTGCATGGCTTTGAGGAAATGTTGGACCCTTTATGAAGTCTCCATGTTGTAGATATGTAGATAATCAGTGCATTGAAACTAGTTGTGGAGTGATAGAGTTTGTTATTAACCCTCAGTGCTCATGCCGCAGCGAGGGTTACAGTAGACGTTATGTCTGTCTGTCTGTCTACGACTATTCTCGCACTAGAGCCTACGAGGCGGCTTGTGAGCGATAACAACAGCTTTAACGGTACATTGTCTAGAATAATAAAACGCAATGGTGATTTTGCTGAAACTACTGCGTTCGAGAGTGACAAACTGGCACGGTCACGGACCGCGTTGCGTCACCCAACACATCAATAAGCGGTGCGCATGCGTATATCAGACGCGATCAACGCAGTAGGCCTGACTTCACCTCAACCTGATCTGCTGGCTCGTGTACCTTGGAGGCACAAGAAGCCACAGCGGTTAGGGTGTGTATCGACTTCCGCCATTGCTACTCTACTACCGTAGTAACCCGTTCTGACTCTCTGCGAGCTAGTAGTAAGGAGACGCGAGTAAACGTATTAACGGGTACCGCGCATGCACAGTTCGCAAGGGTTTTGGAGGGTAGGTTGCCATCAATACCAAGTCACCAAGGACAGTCACACTCCTTGGGTGTTGGCGTCTGCGCAGAGTTGAGGTTGTGGAAGACCACCTGTTTTGCAGTTTCACCAGTTCATGACTTGAAGGGGTTAAAAATTTCATTGTATGCCATATTGATAGGCAATATATAATAGGAGTCGAGAAAAAAACCATAAATGGAGGAAAAAAGGAACAAACGTCAAACAAACAGACAAAAGCACAATACCAAACTTAATATTAAATAATGCTGTCATAGAAGGGGGGCAATAGGGAATCGGTGAGCCAAAGAGCGGCATTCCCACCCCAGAGAGAGACAGAGCAGCACTGGAAAGGGTGACAAATTGAGTCCGCTGGTGAGACCCCTAAACGCTGGCCTAGGAGCGACCATTTCTGGACAATGAGGTGGCTGTGGCCTAACTCATGCCACTCAGGCCTCAAAAGCAAGATGGAAAGGTAAGACCCCAACACCGCGGCAAACGGCGGGGATATTGAGCTGACACATCTTTGACTGCCCCCGTAGGGACATCGATGTCCTGTAGAGAGACTCAGGATGCCAGCTGCCCGCAAAGAGTGCCAAGGCAAGGAATGGAGACTACAGCAGGGACAGGAGGAGAGTGGCGGAGAATCTGGGCCAACAGGAGGGATTGGAAAGCAGCGAGGGAGACAATGAAAAGCTACAGGAGCGTGAAGGAGGGCTGACAGAGATTAAGGCTCACCCAAAGAGACCGACAGGCACGACACATTTACCCAGCACATCGCAGTCAGAGATGGGGCCTCACAGACGCTTCGCAAAGAGTCCCGCATGATGTTTTGTCTAAAGGACTGCATAAGATGCTAGGATGAATCAAGGTTGGGGCGACATGTACGGAGAGTGACTCTTTGGAAGACCTCTGTGAGGCCCCATCTCTGACTGGAGCTGGTTAAAGTGTCGCTGACCGGTCTCTTTGGGTGGCCTTAATCTCTGTCAGGCCCTCCATCACGCTCCTGTAGCTTTCATTGTCTCCCTCGCTCTTTCCAATCCCCCTGTTGCCCAGATTCTCCGCCACTCTCCTCCTGTCCCTGCTAGTCTCCATTCCTGCCTTGCCACTCTTGCCGGGCAGCTGGGCATCCTGAGTCTCTCTACAGGACATCGATGTCCCCCCTCCGGTGGCAGTCAAAGATGTCAGCTCATACCCCCGCTTGCCGCGGTGTTGGGGTCTCTTTCATCCCCCTTGCTTTTGAGGCCCTGAGTGGCATGAGTTAGGCCACAGCCACCTCATTGTCCAGAAATGGTCGCCTCCTAGGCCAGCGTTTAGGGGTCTCACCAGCGGACTCAATTTGTCACCTCTTCCAGTGCTGCTCTGTCTCTCTCTGGGGTGGGAATGCCGCTCTTTGGCTCCACCGATTCCCTATTGCCCCCCTTCTATTGACAGCATTATTTAATTATTAAGTTTGGTATTGTGTTTTTGTCTGTTTTGTTTGACGTTTGTTCCTTTTTTCCTTCTATTTATTGTTTTTTTCTCTACTCCTATTATATATTCCTATAATTATGGCATACAATTGAAATTTTAACCACTTCAGTCCATGAAACTGGTGAAACTGCAAAACAGGTGGTCTTCCACAACCTCACTCTGCAGACGCCACACCCAAAGGATGTGTGACTGTCTTGGTGACTTGGCATTGATGGCACCTACCCCTCCAAACCCTTGGCGAACTGCGCATGCGCGGTACCGTTAATGATGGGCTGCGTTTACTCGCGGTCTCCCACTAGTAGCTCGCAGAGAGTCAGACACGGGTTAGCTACGGTAGTAGATAGCATGCGGAAGTCGATACACACCCTACGCTGTGGCTTCTTGTGCCTCCAAGGTACACAGAGCCAGCAGATCAGGTGGAGGTGAGTCAGCCTACTGCGTTGATCGCGTCTGATATACGCATGCGCACCGCTTATTGATGTGTTGGGCCATGCAACGCGGTCCGCGGCCGTGCCAGTTTGTCACTCTGGAACGCAGTCGTTTTAGCAAAATCACCCTTTTTTTTGTAGCCCATGTACCCCTAAAGCTGTTGGTATCGCTCATAAGCCGCCTCCTAGGCTGAGAATAGTCGTAGACAGACAGACAGAATGAGTACTGTAACCCTCGCTGCGCAATCGCGCCGAGGGTTAATAACACACTCTATCACTCCACAACTAGTTTAAATGCACTGATTATCTACATATCTACAACATGGAGATTTCATAAAGGGTCCAACATTTCCTCAAAGCCATGCACTCCTGTAATGCTGATAATTATTCCAAGGAAGCGGCAATCTCATTAGCAATATGCAGAAAATACCCAGGAAACTCAACACCTCTGCAACATTAGCACTTCGCCTCAACAAAAAGAAACAATTGGACAAAAAACTGGAAGTTGGCCTTAGAAAATATGGCTACGTAGCCAATATTTTTTCTAGCTAGGGCAAAAAATATGTTGTAGGGTGTTGCAAAAAAATATTATTCTAGGGCAATAACCTGTTTTAGATCCCGGTAATTTGAAATCGCGCAATTTCATTGGTCCAAACGCGGGATCTATTTTCAGCTGATCCCGCTGCCTCGGACGACGGGATCTATTGGGGAGCAAGCGCATAACGAGTTGTGGAGCGAAGCACACTGCACTGCGGTTGTGGTGGGGGCGGGTCTCGTAGCCGACGCACGCACTGTTGTCGGTTGTTGTTGTGGGCTGAGCGTTCGAGGATTCGTACTGTTGGTTGGTATGTCGAGTTCCTCCCCTGGTCTAGACAAGATAGTATCTCGTCGATGAACAGGGATTAAAGTATAAAGAACGGCACTGCGTACTAAACGTGCGCGTAACGCCCCGATGGATCATGATCGATCGGAGCCGCGCCGGACCTCGTCTAGGATGCCTTGCCGCCCGGATGGATCAAAAGGTCAAAGTTTGTGTAGAGTTTTGTTGATGTTTCTAGAAGTGTGTAATTTGTGACCGAAAGCAGTATACTGCCACATTACGTTTACGAAGAGTTGGGGGGCATTTTTCTTAACACCGCACAAGAAGAGTATGTTTACATAACCCTGACCAACATCATAACTTTACTACTAATATGTGTGCATTGTGCTATATAAGGTAGTGCAGGGAATAGTCATAGATTAGCATTGGACGCTCCTTGCGTCCACGAGCCTCTGTTGATGTGCAGGAGTATTAAACATACAATATGGGTGGCAAGGTTCTGAGCATTACATTATTACCTTTTCCTTTTTTAAGGCTTTAATATGCTTGCACATACCGCTTGAGACTACTGCACACAACAGTGGAGAACGGTTTGCTCACGGTGAAGGCACGCACTGGATTATGTTCCAGCTAGAAATTTTGCTTTATTTTATGCCATCTTTCCATCATTCGTCTTTCTCTCACTCTTTTATGTACATACCTCATCTAAAGCTCTTTTGCCTTCACTGCAGGTACTTCACTGACAGAGGAAATTTGCTGTTACGCACGTAGCTGTTTATAGGATGTGGTTTCTTATGTTTTATGCATTCATTTTGATCTTGACCGTGCAAAAACGTGCGCACGTCAGATTTACATCAACGAGGACTGATATTGTTCCCCATTTCAATCTCAGTAAAATGATCTATGGACGGACACACACAAACATTTC